GCCAACATGTTCCTGATTCATCTCTAGGTAAATGAGGGAGTGAGGTGGAGATTCAAAACGGTTCTCTGCTTGAAATCCTTGAGAGTTTCTGCTATTTAGAGCAGTAGGTGGAGTTTGTGTAGATGTTAATACAGTGGAATAGAGTACAGTATTTCCAATATAGTGGAAATTCAGATAATTATTTTGGAAGGGCAATCACTTTTATTAGCACACTCCTTAGACTATAGTTACATTTCTCCACCTCAACTAAATACAGGTGCTCCATGACTTATGTCCACAATTGCACCCAAAATTTCTGTTGGTAAGTGAGACAGTTGTTAAGTGAATTTTGCGCCATTTTATGACTTTTCTTGCCGCAAGTCTTAAGTGAATCCCTGCAGTTGTAAATTAATAACATCACTGGCTTCCCCATTGACTTTGTTTATCAGAAGGTTGCATGAACCCAGCATACTGCCACTGTCATAAATATGAGTCGGTTGCCAAATGTCCGAACTATGATCACATGACCACAGGGATGCTACAATGGTCGTATGTTTGAAAAATAGTCATAAGTCACTTTTTTCAGTGCTGTTGTAACTTCAAATTGTCACTAAAAGAATTGGACTGCCCCTGTTTAGTTGTTCTAAGATTTGTCGACAACTCTCATCTCAGTTTAGTAAGCCCTTACAGGTAGTCCTTCATCAATGATAGTAGTTGAGACCTGCAACTTGGTTGTTAGACGAAGTGGGTTCTAATTGAAAATCACAAGACCGCAATTGTGTTTATGGTTTTACTTCAGCTTTCCTCCGCTTTACAGTATCAGAACCCAATGTGGTTTCTGGAATTCAACTCACGAGGAAACTGACTAGAAGGGGCAGCTCTTATCTTTTCTGCATTCCTTCACTTTGGAATGCTTACCTGAGATAATTAGCAAGAAAAGAATTCATGTTTGCATTTACATTCACTCGAGAGAAAGGGATTACAAGAGAGTATGCAGAATCCAGAATGCAGCCGCGCGAGTGATAGTGGGCGCACCGCGGTTCACCCACATTACACCCATCCTCCGCGCGCTGCACTGGCTACCTGTCGGTCTCCGGGTGCGCTTCAGGGTATTTATGACCACCTTTAAAGCACTCCATGGTAGTGGATCT